ACAGTTTGCACACAGTCATGGTAACAGTGACTCCATGTTTCATGAAGATAACAGGCAGCCAATTTAAAGCAAGGTCCTTTCCTTGAAACTGGAGAAGTTTAGCCACAGGACTGCCTGAAATCAGTTGTTATATCTAGCCACTATCAAAACTGGGACTGTAAAGAGCTCTTGACAGAGGTGAGGAAGAAGATAAAGAAAGCCAAGCTATTTTCAGAAGAGCTCTTTGTCACTGCTATTCTGTCAGAATAGCTTGGGAATTTTTATTTTATTTATTTATTTTCTGTCTCTTGTTCATACACTTCAGCGAGGAAGAGAATATTTCAGCTGCCAGAAGTAGCAAGTTAGAGAGAAAACATCTTGCTCCAAGAGGCTTAATTTAAAGTTAAGGAGAAGAACAAGACTTGTGTGACCCTCCAAGGAGGGAAGATGACTGGAATGGTTTTAGTGCTAGGCATAATCTTAAAATTACATCTGAAGACTTACAAATGATAAAAATACACAGTTTTCTCCTTGGTATGAAACTTGGCTTTTCTCTTGTAGAGCTATTCCTTTTCAGTTGTTGCCAAGCCAAATCCATCCTTAGGAATGTGAAGCATCACCATCAATTTCAATAATATTGAATTGCAACTTAGCTGTCATGAGCTTCATATGAAATTTATATAGAATGCATATTGTTCTTCAGCTGAAATCAGGATCCCACTTTTTCAATATTTAACAGTCACAATAGAAGGTGAACACTGCCACAAGGAGCTTACAGTTAAAAACTTTTTTTTTTCCTCACACTTTTACAAGCAGAAGCTTGAGATTAAGATGTACGGACTGACCAAGTGGTTTTCCATAAGCAGCCACTGTGGTTTGCCTGCGGTTTGAGTTGCTTAGGAGCTATATAAATGTGCTGACACCATTCACAGCCTGCAGTATCATGTTTCAGCCTTCAGCAAGACTCCTTCACTCAGGGCAGGAAAGTGGCTAAGGTTGCATTGCTACTGGTCAGCTCTGTGCCCAGAAGGCTATTGGTTCATGTGTAATGCAAAATATCACATAAACCCTATGGGGAAGATATGCTTCAGATATTCAATAGGCAGATGTTTAGGATAAGAGTTCTTATACTCATTCTACAGAATGTAATCAGTGGAGAGAAGGAAGTACACTTACAGAGCGATTCGTCACCACTGCCATGTTAAAATGGGGTTATCCCTATCTGAAAAGTGTCTCTCCATGGACTACAGAAGAAACTTCACTTAGCTGAGTAAGGTTAAATAGGTAAGTCTTAGCCATCTGAAATTAAATCAATCATGACTAATCCTGTAGTTAAATTAACTACTTTGCATTTCCCCAAAAGTCAGTGACAAATGGGGCTACCAAAGGATGAGACATCCCATTGAAGAGAAGGTAGCTAACTAAATAGGAAGAAACACTCTTCTGCTCATGTTATGAAGAGGATTTAAGTAGCTTCCCAAGGTCAGATTCCAAGCTTTGCATCACTTCAGCTAGCTGAGATGAATGGAACAAAGTTTAAGGAACATTTCCTTCCCCCTTCCCTTCCCCTTCCCCTTCCCTTCCCCTTCCCTTCCCTTCCCTTCCCTTCCCTTCCCTTCCCTTCCCTTCCCTTCCCTTCCCTTCCCTTCCCTTCCCTTCCCTTCCCTTCCCTTCCCTTCCCTTCCCTTCCCTTCCCTTCCCTTCCCTTCCCTTCCCTTCCCTTCCCTTCCTTTCCCTTCCCTTCCCTTCCCTTCCCTTCCCTTCCCCTTCCCCTTCCCCTTCCCCTTCCCCTTTTTTTTTCCTGGCACACATTAAATCTTTTTCTTTAAAATTATTTGCTGATGTTCTTTATTCCTAACATGCTAAGAAACAGGAAAATTGCCCTCTTGAAGATGCATGTTCCTCTTACAGTGTCTAAGCCACCTTTTTCAAAGTGAGCTCATGTATCCCTACATCACATGGCAATGGAGACATACCATCAGTGCCAGTGAAGAACCCCGCTGTGCAGTTTCACACTCAAGTCACATTGATTTCCATGGGCAGATTTCACCCAGCAGGAGCCTGTGTCTGTACCGTGGTTTATAAATGTAAGGGGATTGTCCACACTGCCTTGTATTACATTGAATTTTTTGTCATTGTTTTCTTTGCTTTTCTAAATTTTTGTTTTCCAATACAATTTTTCCAGACAGGATCAGGCAACTTTCTTAATGAATTCTTTCCAATCTTCATCACTCATCTATTTTAGTAACTTGGGCAAAGTATTTGACTACTCTTTGCTTCTTTCCCTTCTCTTTCAATGTCAGCACATCAGTCTTTTCTAGCACAACAAACTTATAGCCTTTTAAATGAGGCTATTTTTAGCTATGCATGGTAATATGACGATAACAAACATCTAGTATAACTGAATTTGATACATAGTGCTATGAAATATTTGTTCATTTTCTTCCCTGTCTTTTCTGCAGTATGATGATTTCCACACATTTCTCTAGGTTTGTTTGTAGTATCTATTGCTATCCCAGAGTTTAGAAGACAACTGATTTTAAAGTAATAATAAAAAATAAGAAAGCTTTCCCTGTTTCTACCAAAGCCATTTAATTTAAGTGAGCAAGGCTAGCAGGTGGTTATCAGATCTTATTAGCTACTTTGATTGTTTCTAACACCTCCTGTAAGTAAATGTCTCATTGAAATGGATATTTACATGTGCTATGCTTTTGAACAGATTGCCATTCATTAGTGAACTATAAACCTATTACTAGGCATCTTCAGATTTAGAAGGTAAATACAGTTTCTCCTGTGTGGACAAACAGTAGCTATCAAAGCCAGTAAAATCTAATAGTGCTCAATTTGATCTCGATTTCCATCTTTAGTACACTGACCATACCAGTGAACTTTTCAAAACCCCGTCTTCAATTCTTATGGAGATATTCAATTCAATCACAGTATTCATACAATGAGATCTTCATCTGGTGAAGAAAACAACCTAGCGTATGAGTGAAAGAAAGGGATGAGGAGAGGGAAATGTTTTTTTTTTTTTTTTTTTTTTCCCAACTCCTGTGGTGATTTAATGAGCAGTTTTCTAGTAATATTCTGGAGGGTCTGGAAAAGCTGAAAGATTTTTAGATAACAGGATCAGAATGTTATATGGTAACTAATTTTTTTTTTTTTTTGATAATTTATTTTATGTAATCTGATGCTACATCCTGTAATTTGAAAGAAGGATTATCAAATGCTTATAATATGGAGTCCTTATAACATTGTCATTTGACACTGACCTAATTCTTCAAATTCATAACTGTCCTATTTACCACACATGGTAGTATCTGGCATATATTTCATGAGAGAACATAGGACTTGATTCTCTGGCACTGAAGCTGATAGAAAAAATTTACAAAACCCATTCCTGTGAAAATACATCCTTCACTGCTGTCTATCTATCTCATATTATCACACAAGTTGATAAAGTCCACGCTATGTAAAGCAGTTGATCAGCCAACCCTCATTAAACTGTACTTCTCCTAGTCTGAAAGCATGACACTTTGAAGTATTATCTGCTTTTATTGAAGATCTTATTTTCCCTGGCACATAGTCAAAGAAAAAGTATATCAACAGAAAACCATTTAGAAAAGTGTGGCACTTGCAGCTTTTAACAGTTGATAAGATTATGTGCTTGACTGCAACATCAAATGCAAAGAAGTCATGGGGACATTTAGATTTGGTCTTTCTTTATTCTGCTGAGGTAGCTGATGATCCCCATTTGAGATTCCTTCACTAAGTCATTATTTGTACATTAGTAGGAAATTTGAGAGATATTTCTGAGTTTTTCTGTATACCGTGTAAGTTTTTAGGTTTATGAGCCTCTAAGATGGTGACTTCAGGTTTACAGGAGTCATGCATAGAAAGGTGCTTCTTGAAAACCCGTCATAATCTGTCATGTTTCTGATGCATAAGACCTGACTTCTTCCTATGTCCTAAAAGATGAAACCTCTCATCCCCAATCTCATCACCTCCTATTTCTGCATGCTTCTTGTTCTGACTGTGTTTTGCCTTTATGTCAGGTATGTCTGTGCATCGTTTCTGGTAAGATTAAAACCTACATGTGTGAGCAGGTAGGAAACAGTGGGAAGCTTTCACCTAGTTCCTGACCTAAGGAATAGAGAAACGAAATAGAGCCAGATCTATATAATGACTGGAAATTTGAAATAGAAATGTTCAGGTTAGAAATACAAGGCACAATCTTTTAGTAGGAGGTTAGTTATTCACCACTCAGTTCTTTAATTCAAGGCTTTCTCCCTCAATGCATGTTAAGGGCCTGATTCTGCCTTTAGCAAGAAATCACTACAGGTAAAATTGTCCTTTTGATATTTTGAGTTTATACGTTCTAGAGCAGAGTGCTGAAAAAAACAGTGGATGATGTTATGATGGGTCTTTACTAATGGAGTAAATTTTACTTCTAAACCCAATATTTTCCTGAGAGAACGAACAACATGGAAGAGATTAGCTTCCCTCACGTATCCACAAAAAGCAGTTTCAGGAGGAAGCAGAACATGTTTTTCAGTTTCCAGTCAACTTCCTGAGTTAAATTCCCCAAAGTGCCAGTATCCAACCTTTGACAAAGATTAGAGTCTTCAGAAATTCACAGACTTGAAACTGAAAATAGGATCCACACATCCTATTTAACAAAACACTATTGAGAGACAGCTAAAAGGTGGCAGATCCCATGCTCAAGGGAAAATTCATTCCTGACTTACACTGGAATGATTTAATTGGGACTAAGAAATGACATTTTTCTGCCAGGTTAGAGTCTGTCCATTATAGTACCACACAACTATATCATACTTATGCTTCAATACAAATTATTCTTTTCCAGGGAAAACTTAGAAAAAAATATTTAGCATTCTAACCAAGCGCACATCTGTGGATAGAAGAAGAAGAACCAACAATAAACTACGATAATTGTTTAAAAAAAAATAATAATGTGGATTTGCACCATAATGTATCTTTTGTTCCCTTCTCTTCTATAGGTTGCCCAGGAATGTGGGACAATATTACATGCTGGAAACCTGCAAGTGTGGGTGAAATTGTCTTTGTCAAGTGTCCTGCATTGTTCAGATTTATCATCTCTGAAGACGGTAAAGTATTTTCTCCATGTTCTTTGCCTCTGCGTGGCCAGCATGACTATAAAATCTGACTTAACCACTCTATTTAAAGGGAAAACAAAAACTCTTCAGTGGCCTAGGGTTGGTTGAGTTTCAGTTCAAAAGCATGCAGTAGAAAAATGGGATATGTGTGTTATGCAAGAGATGCAGAAGCTCCGTCATGTGATTTTGTGGTCTGTAGAAATGAGATGTCAGCATCCTACTGCCCCTTGCAACTGACATTAGCAACCAAGCAAGCAAACAAAAGTAAATAAAAGATTAGAAACTTGCCCAGGTTGCAATTTGCAATGTGGTGAAATGAAATATTTCTGCTTCCAGCATGCATTGCTTCCTGTCAGAGTTGTCCCTCATCTTGCAGATGTACTGCTTATGGCCATCCAGGCTGGTTCCTTTTTCTCTTTTCTCTCTTTTCCCAACTACTTTAGGCTCGAACCAAAAGCCTCATGTACTCATGCTTGATAACCAAACCCTATCAGACACTTGGCTTCAATCCATATGCAACCCAGCCCCTGCTGCCCAGCTAGGTGCTATTAATATGGAAACCTATGTTATTAGTAGCAATAGTATTTACTTATTATTAATATTATTTAGTATATTTTAATGGTGAGTCTGTTCAAGCTACTGCTTGTGTGATAACAAACACCCCTTATCTTTTCTTATATATGTATATCTTATTTTTTCTATATACATGTATATATGTATATATATATTCACATATATATATATTAACTTTGAAATACATGAACATTTGCTGGGTAAAAATAAGAGGGTATGGAGAGGAGGAAACAACTATTAAGATGTTCACAGAAGGTTTATAGATTTATTAGACGATCTCTTGAAAATTATTTTTTTCATGATGCAATGAAATGAGCTTCCCAGGTGAATGATTGAGGGTGGCAAAATTCTACTATCAGAGTTAGCTAACAAGACTTCGTTGGTAATAGCTTTTTCCATCTCACCCCAGCACCCATCTAGCCTAGCATGAATTACTTCATTAGCACCTTCCATTGAAGTAAAGGTTCACCCCATTTTCCCTCTGGGATCCTTCTTCCCAAAGATTATTTTGCCAACGAATTATTCATATATAATGTCGAGTACAAAATTCACCTTCTCAGTGTTCCTAAATGCAGAGCATAATTTTGGGGAGACAGTTAGTGTTTCATGCATAGCTCTAGAACTGCGGAAATCCCCACCTTTAAATACAACCATTTGAACTCATCTAGACACAGAAGCAAACGTCAATACTCTTGTGAAATGGAAAGGAAATTAAGAGTGATCACCACCTCACTAAAAATATCCATATGAAATTCAAATGTCTTCTCTAGATTAGTTCACTGGACTCCATCTTTCATTAATTGAAAGAAAATAAGGAAAAAAAAACACAACAGAAGACAATGTATGTCATTTCAAGAAACACGAGGTAAATCACCCTTTAGAGATATCTCTCATTATCCAGCAAGTACTAAAGACAACTCACATAAACAAGGCACCTAATTTTTGAAGGGAGAAAGATAAATCCCTCTTTAAATTATAAGATAGAAAAATAAAGTTATTACTATAATATTATGTGCTTCAATTATTAACAAAGATAATTAAACATAATCTTTACTGCTTCAATATTGGTCCAGTATTGATTCAGTGGGTACAATGACACTTACTGAACTGTCATAGTCAACCATAACAAAAAAACAAAACAAAACAAAACAAAACAAAACAAAACAAAACCACACAAGTATTCATGAGGTTTTGTATCTAGCATGGGAAAAGCATTATTCTTCCATCTTCCAGGGTTGTTTTTTTGTTTGTATGTATGCTTTTTGTTTGTTTGGTTTTTAGTTCTTCATAAGTTTGTCATCAATTTTTGTCATTCAGCCTGACAGTCAAACCAGTTCTGGTCATCCTTTGAGCAGGATACACAATCAGCCAGAAGTTTTTGCTGTCCAGTTATCAGTGATGTTTGCAGCCTGCAGACAAAATACGTTTATGTTGTTTATTGTGCATCAACAGATGGCTGATCTACTGTTATCTTCTGATATAACTGCAGGAGGCCTGCTGCTCAAGGCAGTACCTCTCCAAATTTCTGTTACGTGGTTTTTAATCTGCTTCCCCTCCATATCCTCAATATAAGCATGGTAACATAGGCAGAAATTTTCAAATGTTCTCCCCCTCTCTTTTTCTCTTATTTATTATTATTATTATTATTATTATTATTATTATTATTATTATTATTATTATTATTATTATTATTATTATTATTATTATTATTATTATTTATTTATTTATTTATTTATTTATTATTATTTATTTTATGCAATGCTCAGATATTACTAGTTTGATTGTATGGAGAGTGATGTCTCTCCATACACATCTCCAGATGCACACAGAGTGTGTGTCTAAAGTCTAGGAAATCTTAGACAGTCTCTGACCATCTGTCAACAAACCTCTACAGCAGACCTTTTTACTGTTCTTTTTTATTTCAAGGAATATCTCAAATGCTCCTCCTTTTATCCCCCACAAAAATAGTGCCTTCTCACTTTTATTGATTAAATTTCTTTTCTATGGTGCCCTCGTTTCTGGAGTAATTATGGTGCTCTCAGTTCTTCTCAGAAGCCATCTAGTCTGTCTAGTCTGTCTCCCTCCTCAAAGTCAGTGTCAGCTCAGTGTTATCTATTCCATCACATATCTAACCTTTTAACTGGAAAATCTTCTCCTGTATATATCTAAAACATATATATATATATATATATATTTAAAAGTAATATACATTTTAGAAAAATACAAATATTTCTTTATATAAAAATGAAATGCTTTACCATAACAAAAAATATTAATTAGATGTATGAAATAAGATTTTTTAATATTTGCCTAGGATTTACAGCCTGGTTTGTATATTGTACTTCACATTTGGCCTCTAACAGGGTGATAGTATGACCCTAAGGGGAGAAGTAGTCAGTCCAGTGTAAATATATGTCTTCTTTCTTTATCTCCTTAAGGGACCACTAATAAAAGTGACAGCTGTTACCACTTGTAGTGGTGGGTTTGAGGGTTTTTGGACATCTGTTCAGTAGAAACAAAACCGAGATTCATAATTCATTATATAAACAAATAAACATTTAATCTGGAGTAGTTTAAAACCTCTGCAGGCCTGACTGGATTTGCACTAGTGACCCCAAGGTGGAAATATCTACATCCGTAATCACTCTCTTGGGTGAATCAGCATGGGCTTTCAGTATCATTACTGCTAATTTTAATTAGCCAAGTATATTTGCTTCAAGGAGTGCTTAATGAAAAAAGTCACATTTTATGGAGGTTCCTTAAATAAAGGATTATTAGATAACTAAAATGTTTCCAAGACATGGCTAATCACATTTTATAGATTGTTATAGTATTCTCTGGCTGCTTCCGTGTTTCTAGATTATGTAAGTAAGCTAGGCAGTGCCAATAAAATCTATTAATAGCATACTCATTTTTAATACAACAAGGTTTTTATATGACCAAAAATATTTTTTTATGTTTTTACAAATAGTAGCAATAACTTTAATTTATACATTAAAAATACTTGTCTTGTGAAGCCCCAAAGCACCTGTAGTTACAGTTGCTTGGATGACAGCAGGGAAACCATATGGGAAAATATTAATTTTAAAGAGTGGGAGGAATTTAATTCTTTTGGTTATGGATATCAAAAGTTATTTGTGTATGTCTGAACAAGGAACATGGATTTCTGGTTCAATGAACGGAAAGCGATACGTACTTGTAGATGTTTCCTCTGACCTATCTCAAATGCTTATCTTGAGATGAATGAAGCTACTGGAGAAGTCTTGTTTGTTTGATGAATTTCCAAAAGGAATTTGGCTGTCTTGACTTGGATGTCTGATTTCCACATGCAGTAAAATGAAAAAGAAATGGAGTCTAAAAATAAAAATTAACTAATTTAATTCCATCATCCATAGAGATGCTTTGTTGAAAAATGATTCAGAGGATCCAGTTAAAAATATCATCTCTTGCTGTTCAGAATTTGAAAATATACTCTGTTCTGACCTTCATTGTAATTGGACTGAGCAGTAACATTTGAATTGCTGTTAACATCATACAGAAATCCCAATGTTAAAAACTTTTGCAAATCTCATGATATATAATGACCCTTCCTTGTAAATTTTTATTTCACCTCTCTGCTCCCCTAAAATCATCAGAATTTTTCATTTTTTTTCAGATGCAGTTTGTGAACAAAAAGATTATTCTCAAAATCTCTCCACCTGAAAAAGACACAGTAGTTCCTCAGACTTTTTTAAACTAGTAGGTTAAGGATTTACAGTGGGTTTTGTTCTGGAGGATTCCTAAATGTTGATGTTTGGTTGGTTGGTTTGTTATTTTTTCTCTTCCAAATTCATTTCTTCTATCAATTCACAGTGTTATTTTCACTGGAAGACATAATTTCCATGATATTGCTTTTGTAAATTATGTTTTCTCCAGTGCCTTCCAAGTACCAACTCCAGAGACAACCCCTCTAGCACAGAGGAAATTTAAAGCATTCAGAGTTATCTTTGCATTGAAAGAAACAAATCAAAACAAACCAACCAACCAACCAACCAACCAACCAAAAACAAAAACAAAAACAAAAACAAAAAAACATGGTAATCTGTGAAGTTGCATTTCAATATGACATAGCAAGACTTATACATGTCCCCAGCATAGTTATCTGCGTTCATGGATATAAAATGTTACGTTTTATTTATTTTTTTATTTTTATTTTTATTGTGGTGAACAGTGATGGTAAGTCTAGCAGAGGAAATCTACAGATGCCAAAGCTTTTCTTTCTTTGCACAGCTGAGATACTCTGTAGTAATAAAATTTATAAAGCCAAATTGCTCAAAAGGACCATTGAGAGAAACCCAGTAACCAGATCAGAAATGAGCATATATTTAGATATTTTATTTGCAGTATAAACTAATACAAATGATAATAAGCACTTTCTG